ACGGAAAAAAAAAAATCAAGGGCAGCAGCGTGGAATAGGGATTCCCCGCTGCAATGTCCCGGCGGAGAACCGCGGGCCACGCAGGGGCTCGTCGTCGGGCCCTCCGCCAGTGGCTCCTCCTTCTTCTCCTTGTCGTCCCCCGCCCCCAATCGACCCCCTTGAAACCCTGCGGGGGGCAGTCCCACGAGCGTGGCCGAAATGTGGCTGAGGCAACTCCACTCGCCTGAACCCCCCCGGGAGAAACGATCAGAAGGGGGGTTGCACTCGAATGCGCGACGACCTCGCGCGGTGGCTCACGCAGGCTGCTCGCGCGGCAGACGCGCGAACTTACGAGGGCGGCATGCGCGCGAGTGCCCGCGCAATCGACCCCCTTGAAACCCTGCGGGGGGCAGTCCCACGGGCGTGGCCGAGACGTGGCTGAGGCAATTCCACTCGCCTGACCCCCCAGGGAGAAACGATCAGAAGGGGGGCTGCACTCGATTGCGCGACGACCTTGCGCGGTGGATCACGCAAGCCGCTCGCGCGGCAGACCGCATTAAGGCGCCTACGCGCCACCTTCCGCGGGCAGCTTACGCACAAGTGCACGCGCAATCGACCCCCTTCAAACCCTGCGGGTGCGCCCTCCCGCGGGCGCTTTGAAATGTGTCGCCCGGTTGCGGTTGCGGTTGCGGTTGTGCGCTCCCGCGGGCGCTTTGAAATGTGTCGCCCAGTTGCCGTTGCGGTTGCGGTTGCGCGCTCCCAATGTGTCGCCCGGTTGCGGTTGCGGTTGCGCGCTCCCGCGGGCGCTTTGAAATGTGTCGCCCGGTTGCGGTTGCGGTTGCGAGCCCGCGGGCATTGAAATGTGTCGCCCGGTTGCGGTTGCGGTTGCGAGCCCGCGGGCGCTTTGAAATGTGTCGCCCGGTTGCGGTCGCGGTTGCGGTTGCGCCCGCGGGCGCTTTGAAATGTGTCGCCCGGTTGCGGTTGCGGTTGCGGTTGCGCGCTCCCGCGGCGCTTTGAAATGTGTCGCCGGGTTGCGGTTGCGGTTGCGCGCCCGCGGGCGCTTTGAAATGTGTCGCCCGGTTGCGGTTGCGGTTGCGGTTGCGCGCTCCCGCGGGCGCTTTGAAATGTGTCGCCGGGTTGCGGTTGCGGTTGCGCGCCCGCGGGCGCTTTGAAATGTGTCGCCCGGTTGCGGTTGCGGTTGCGGTTGCGCGCTCCCGCGGGCGCTTTGAAATGTGTCGCCCGGTTGCGGTTGCGGTTGCGGTTGCGCGCTCCCGCGGGCGCTTTGAAATGTGTCGCCGGGTTGCGGTTGCGGTTGCGCGCTCCCGCGGGCGCTTTGAAATGTGTCGCCGGGTTGCGGTTGCGGTTGCGCGCTCCCGCGGGCGCTTTGAAATGTGTCGCCCGGTTGCGGTTGCGGTTGCGCGCTCCCGCGGGCGCTTTGAAATGTGTCGCCCGGTTGCGGTTGCGGTTGCGGTTGCGCGCTCCCGCGGGCGCTTCGAAATGTGTCGCCGGGTTGCGGTTGCGGTTGCGCGCTCCCGCGGGCGCTTTGAAATGTGTCGCCCGGTAGCGGTTGCGGTTGCGGTTGCGCGCTCCCGCGGGCGCTTTGAAATGTGTCGCCCGGTTGGGTTGCGGTTGCCGCCGCCGGGTTGCGCTCCCGCGGGCGGTTTGAAATGTGTCTCCCGAGCTGTCCCCTGACGTTCAGTTAGTCATCAGTCAGCCGGCGGGCACGGAATTTCACCCGGCTCCGCCGGGAAAAATAAAAAACAAAACAAAAAAAAAAAAACGCGCGCCCCGGGCGCGGGGGCGCCCGCGGGGCGCCCACGAGAGGCCCGCGAGGCGGCACGGCAAGCCGGCCCGAAGGCCCGAATATCGGGTGTGCCGGGGGGGGGGGGGATGATGCGGGCTTCACGCGCGTTTTCGTCGGCGTTCCCCGACCTCCCCCCCACCCCCACCACTGGAAACGGACGGCAGGTCGGGGCCTCGGGTTGGCTTGGGGGTCGCTTGGCGGGCGGTGGGCCACCACATATCGTCACTTGCTGCAACAGCGCGTGCCGTTCCACCTCAGACGCTTGGCGGCTTCTCGGTCGCCAGCTCGTTCCATAATGGATGAGTCTGGGCTGGGCCGCCGCTGGCTTTCCGCGGCGGGGCCGCTGCCACGTCGACACGACGTGAACCTGCTGTGGCCGCAATGTTTGTCTGGCCGGGGCGAAGGGGATAGACCTCACTGTGCCCTCCGTGCTTGTTCTGGCATGCGCCTCCCCTGAGCACGCGACAGGAGGCCGCGGCAGCGGCGAGGCGTGCCGTCACACATGGATCGCCGCAAACAAGAACAACCCCTTCCATGCAACCGGCACATGCGATACGAGATCCTGCGGCACATACGGCACATGAGAAATCCTGTGGCATACTATTCGTCTATATATATATATATATATGTATATGTATTTATATATATGTGAGGATCCTGATGTGCCCCCCAGACTTCTGTGGTCCCTTGGGCCATCGGGGGATAAGAAATTCCATTTCCGCAGGGCACCTGCTGGAAGGCCGACTACTTCACTGATGTGCCCGTGATGATCTGGCTCAGAGCATCCGGCTCTACTGGCACTGACAGCACCTTTCCGCTACGACACATGCCGCCACGTCCCACTCGCTCCATGCGCGAGGACTGCAGCTCGACAGCTGACGACACTCACCACCTCCACTTGCCACAGCGAACGCGACGATCGCGATACTTCTCACCAGGACCTCTCCTTCCCACACCTGCTGACACCAGTGCCATTACGAACGGCACGAGACGCCGCCTACAGCTGCCACGGCGAACACGGCAACGGCAGCACGGATGACCGCATCTGGCTCTTCTCGCCGCGCAGACGTGATCGGCCCAGCCGATGTCAGTTGGCTCGACCCCCTCTTGTCTACCCAACGAACAAGAAACCAGCGCCCACCTGTCACTGCGCTTGACCGTCGTGCGCCTCGATCATATCATTGCACCTGGTGAGAACTCGGCCCCGTCTCTCCTGGCACAGCCTCAAGAGAAGACACCAGCAGATACACGCGCTGCTTCACGTCTGCCCAGGCCACCACGGGCGGGCCGTGCCATGCCAGTTGAAAGCACGTGCCTCTCGACCCCCTCGGAGCGTGAACCTCCACAGCGTCAGCGCCTGCTGCTATGTCCAACACGCCACATGCGCGCAGAAAACCACAACGACCACGGGAGCGCCTTGCCTCGATGCGGAACCGCCTCTAGCTCTACAGGTCATCAAACAAGAGAAGCGCACGCCACCACGGACTGGAGTCATTCGAAGTAAAGCAGGAACGAAGGTGACTATCCTCACCCAATCCAGGCAAACCATCCTCGCTCGGCGAGGCCACCTTGTCGTAACCGTAGCGGGTCGCATCAGTAGCTGTTCTACCCTGCCAGAGTCCGGCCGAACCCAGCCTGCTGGGGGTGCACCTGCGTGCGAGATGCTTAGGGGTCTCCTGGATGGGGTCCGAGCAGATGGGGTCGAAGGATCGCGCCGCATCGCGTGCATCGGCGACGTCGGCGTGGGGAAACACGGGCTCCACATCGAGCCGCACCGCCGATGCATCCATCTTTTCTCCTCTTGTTCTTCCTCCTCCATCTGTTCCTCCTCCTCCTCCTCCTCCTCCTCCTCCTCCTCCTCCAGCTCCTCCTCCTCCTTCCTCCTTCCTCCTCCTCCTCCTCCTCCTCCTCCTCCTCCTCCTCCTCCTCCTCCTCCTCCGCACCGTCGATGCATCGGCGATGCGGCGCGGTCCTCCGACCCCATCCAGCCTCGGACCACATCTGGGAGGCCCAGGATGATCGGCTGTCCCCCTCCACCGTTCCCACTACCCTGTGGTCTGTACAGTCGGGGCGTTGACCTAAGGAACCCTAAATAAGGAACGAGGCCCCTTTTCCCCATAGGTTGAACTTCGATTTCCCATGGAAAACCTCAGGAAAACCCAAAGCAAAGTGTAAAACAGTTAAGGAACACCGAGCCCTCCCCAACGCAAAGGGTTCCTTCTTCAGCGCCCCGACTGTACTCCGATTAGAAACGAGGGAGCTTGGGCCAGCGGAGGGGAGGGGGGCGGGCTCGCCAAGGCACCCCGGGGGCTTCCAGAGCCTGCAAATCTGCACGCCGTGGCCTCCAGGATGCCCAAGATGCGCATCTAAACTGCCCAAGAGGCCTCAAAGACGCCCCGAGAGGGCTCCGAGACGACCCCCTGGAGGGCCCCAAGAAGAAAGGATCGTCCAAATCGCTACGAAGACATGCATGTTGAGGATCTTCGCATGTTTGGTCTTCACAGCGTCCAAGACGGCTCAAGGGGCCCCCACGATCGCTCCCAGGCGCCCAAGAAGCCCCCCAAGAGGGCCCCAAGACAGCCGAAGAGGGTCCCAAGACGGCCCAAGAGGCGCCCTGGATGGCCCAAGAGAGCCCCAACAGGGCCCCACGAAGGGACCAAGAGAGGCAACTCGAGCTGACGCTCCGAACCCTCCGCCGGAAGAGGACCCCCGAGACCGCCCGCAGGCGCCCCGGAAACGCCCAAGAAGCTCACAAGAGGCCCGAAGAGGCCCCCGGGAGACCCAAAAGAGGCCCCCAGATGGGTCTCCAAGAGAACCGAAAGGGCCCCACCAGTGGACGGAGGAGGGAGGAGGGAGGAGGGAGGAGGGAGGAGGAAGGAGGGAGGAGGGAGGGGGGAGGAGGGAGGGGGGAGGAGGGAGGGGGGAGGAGGGAGGAGGGAGGAGGGAGGAGGGAGGCTCATCCTTCTTCTGGGGGATCGGCGGAACGGCGCACGCGCTTCTTGAACAAGGACAGCTCCCGCTGCCACTCCCCGCCGCTGACGTACAGGCCATCGGGGGCCCTGATCTTCAGCAGCGTGCAGACCTGGGACAGCCTGCGAGGGCCAAGCACTCTCCTCGTATAGCCGGCTACACGCAGGAGTGACCCTGGGTACAGTCGGGGCGTTGACCTAAGGAACCCTAAATAAGGAACGAAGCCCCTCGTTTCCAAAAGTTAAAC